AACTTCCCATGTCACATCAAGTTAGAGCCTCAGACTGGAGACAGACTGGAGACATGTCATAGTTTAAGAGAGCTGGTTTGAGAAAGCATCGCTTTCCCATTACGTCTGAGCTGTGTAATTTAGCTTCTTCCAACAACAACAAAACCCACCAGAATTTTGGTTAACTTGATACAAAATGTTAATTTTTTTTAGAAAAACAAAGGGTTGTTGATGATGCAATTGCAAAGGATTATGCTACTGAGGAATGCGTGCTGCCTCTTTGTTCTTTTATGGGGGATTTCTCCCCCCCCCCATAACCATTACCACAATTCTTTCAGCACAGATTAGCTAAGGACGTCTCATCCGTAATATTGTTTTAATGAGCTTTGCGTAGTTTCCGAACTTTAAAAAATGCATTCAGCGGCACAACCCATCTGCGGCTATTTAAGTTCTTCCGAGTCCCCCTTTTCTATTCCAGTGATGCTGAAGGGCAAAAACGGTTGGCCATAATTGGAAGAAAACAGTATGAGCATCTTCCTCTTTACAAGAGCTCTTCTTATATCACTGTCTCCTTTGCCCCAGAAACATCACTCTAAAATTGATAGGCCTATGTAATTATTTTTAAGGAGCTGCGGTGGCTCAAGTGGTTAAGACGCTGAACTGCAGGCTGTGGAAGGCCGGTCGTTCAGCAGTTCGAGACCCGAGTGTGCCGCATGACGGAGTGAGCTCCCGTCTCTAGTTCCAGCTCCTGCCAACCTAGCAGTTCGAAAGCAAGAAATTGCAAGTAGATAAATAGGTACCACTTCGGTGGGAAGGTAACAGCGTTCCGTGCGCCTTGGTGTTTAGTCACGCCGGCCACATGACCACGGAAATGTCTTCGGACAGCGCTGGCTCTTCGGCTTTGAAACGGACATGAGTCCCTAGAGTCGGATTCGACTGGCTTTCGAGCAAGGGACCCTTTACCTTTACGTAATTATTTAAGGGCCAATTCAAAGATGGATTTCATTCAGTACAACTGTAGATTATCTTTAACTCTTCAAAGTACAAGCGGGAGACCACAAGTACTGCTCTCCCACATTTTGGAAAGAAGAAAAAACCCTGACATTCAGATTCATCATGGCGACATGGCTAAACTTTGATCCTTCTAACATTCCACTATGGGTGTCTGGGGATCGAGGGTGTTCTATGAGAACACCCTCCTAGAAGAAGAAGAGATTGGATTTATACCCCACCCTTCACTCGAAGTCTCAGAGCGGCTTACAAACTCCTTTCTCTTCCCCTCCCCACAACAGACACCCTGTGAGGTAGGTGGGGCTGAGAGAGCTCTGACAGAAACTGCTCTTTCAAGAACAGCTTTGACAGGACTATGGCTTGCCCAAGGTCGTCCAGCAGCTGCAAGTGGAGGAGTGGGGAATCAAACCCGGTTCTCCCAGATGAGAGTCCAGGCACTTAACCACTACGCCAAACTGACTCTCCTATATGTGATCCTTCACCTTGAGTTGGAAGTGGTACAGTCTTTCCACAATACAGAAGCGCGGTGAGCAAATCTTACTGAACTGAAATTTCTGAAATCAGTGAAAGGGAACGACAGAACAGTAGAGCCAATATTCCACAGTAGTTAGAGTGCCAGCCTAGTATTTGGGAGACGGGCTTGCTGAGTGACCTTGGGTGAGTCATTCTTTTTCTCTCTGCTTACCTCCTTCACAGGGCTGTTGCAAAGAATGAATGGGAGAGGACTGAACCATGTACTCTGTCTTGAGGGTTTCTTGCACGGAATGACAATGTGATATATAGACAAAGATGAACATGTTGTTGTGCTCTGGTATGCCTCCATTGCAAAAAAAACAATCCCCAAGCCAGAGATCATGGGTAAATTGCACATTGATGCATATCTGAGGTAAAGTAATTTTTAAAAATCACAGATTTGGTTTCAGTAGGACCATTTCAGCTTTGATGTATTTCAACAAATGTTCAGTTGCTTGTCTATTTACGATTGCAGCCCAAGTTGTTTTGATCCCAGATTTCCACTAGGTGACAGTACAACTGAATATTTCTCGCACAGGATGTTAAAATCCAGAAAGATGCATTTTGAAAGGAGCAAAAATAAGGGAACTGAGAAAAGTTTGAGCCAGATATCAGTTGGTATGAACTTCCCAAAGGAAGCCAGTCGTGACACAAAATTTGTGTCAGGGTATGAGCTTTCTTGAGTCACTACTCACTTCTTCAAATCTAAAAAAGTGAGCAGATCTGAAGAAGTGAGCAGCAACTCTTCAAATCCGAAGAAGTGAGCAGTGACTCACAAATCTTGTTAGTCTTTAAGGTGCTACTGGACTCTTGCTCTTTTCTGCTGCTACAGACAGACTAACACGGCTACCCATCTTGATCTATCTCCAAAAAAGAGAAAAGGTTTATGAAAGGCAGGCATGAGCACTGCAAGTCTCCAATGGAACCAGAACTTCCCAACCCCCTAGCTCAGAGGTGTCAAATTCATTTGTTACGAGGGCCAGATCTGACATAAATGTCACTTCATTGGGCTGGGCCCGTATGCCATAAAGTGTAATGCCAGGCACTGGAGATACAAACTTTATAAACGACAGCAGTGGGTAAGCTCTGAGTTGGTGTGTCCCCACTGCAAGTCCCTTTCAGCTGGGGGAGTGCAAAAGAAAACCCGCATGGGCCAACTGGAGAGCCAACGGTGGAGCGCTGGACAGATGCCCCCATGCTGCCTGGAACCCCTTTTCCCAGTCTGCTCCCACCACCACCAATCCAAAGTGGTTGGGCGTTGCAAGCTCCCCCTCCCTCCGAGCCCCCATGGAAGGGGACTGGGAAGACAAGCTGAACTAACCTCCCCACCTGCAGAAGCAGGGTGGTGGTGACCCAGGAGAAAGGCCACATGCATGGCTGGACCCAGGCCAAGCAAAGCCCAATAAGCTGGAGACGCCCGCATAGCAGCAGCTGCCTCCAGCCGAGGCCAGCAAATGATCCATGCTGGGGCGATGTAGGGTTCGAGCCAAAAAATCACTGGCAAGCTGTGTCACCCCCATATGGCAGCAGCTGCCAAAGGCCACTGGATCATCTGGTGGGGGACCAGGCACTGGATGCACAAGGCTGCACGTGTGGCAGAGGCCCCAGGCAACCCAGTGACCAGTATAGCCAGAGATCCCTGGCACCACCACCCCTTGAGGCAGTAGCCACCTATGGCTGAAGGCTGCTGGGTGTTCCATGGGGGAGGGAGGCCCAGCTACCAAGTTGCGTGCTTGGGGGCAGGATTAGGCCCCCAATGTGTGAAAGAAAATGCTGAACACCCTCCATGGGCCAAAGCACTGTTGCAGCATGGGGGCCACGAATATGGCAGTGGTGCTGGCATGTAGAGCTCCAGGCCAAGCAGAGAGGCGTGCGACCTCACCTTGGAACCCAGAGCCAGCATGAATGCAGCTGTGGTGCCTCCCAACTTACCAGTGAGGCTGCCACTGAAGCAAGGGGGTTCTGCTTGACTGCTGCAGACAAGATTGTTCTGCCATGCTGAAGCCGCAATCGGAATGGCACTAGTTGCTCACAGGCCAAATAAGAGCCCTGGATGGGCCAGTTCCAATCTCCGGGCCTTACGTTTGACACCCCTTCGGCATGAGTTAACTATGCACAATCAGCCCAAACTAGAAAAGGGCTTGCTAGTTCCAGAAGAAAAGATTTTCAGCATTCCCAACACCTTCCCTTTCAGGAGTTAAATGTGCAGAGTACCTTTAATGAATTTATCACTTAGGCTTTCCAAGTCCCCCCGGGGGGCGGGAAAATCCCCGCCCCAGAGGCCCATTTCCCGCCGCCGGTGGATCAGGCCCCGGGGGGAGCCCCACCCTGGCATGCGCGTCACCAGGAAGTGACGTTATGACGCCGGGCACGCTGGGGGCGGGGCCACGGTCATCCAAGGGAAAACTCTATGGTTTTTCCTCGGATGGTCGTGGCCCCGCCCCCAGCGTGCCCGGCGTCATAACGTCACTTCCTGGTGACGCGTACGCGCGCTCCAGCCACGGACCGGGAGTCCCCCGGTAAGTAGTTTTTTAGACTTGGCAACCCTATTATCACTAATGGTGCAATCCTATTCATGTCTAATCAGAAATTAAGTGCTACTATATATGGTAGGATTCACTCTCTAGTAAATGTTTGTAGGAATGCAGCCTGAAGGAAGCTTGGTTTTCTTTGGGCAAGGAACTCTATTGGGGAGATTTCTAGTGTTTTTCTTTTTCAACAACTGAAGGAGTTAGTTACCTTCCAACACCCTTCTTCCTCCTCCTTCAGCTTCTCAACGCCAGGAAAAAGGATAAGAGACAATCATTTCTCCCCTTATACAAAGAGATAAAAGTTGCTGCGGCTGCAAAATTTCATTGTGAAACACATACCTTTGAATCGCTTCTCCAGGCTTTCCCCTCTTACAGTCAGAAATGGCTGCCCTCTGAAAGGGGCAGGGCTAAATCCTGAGTGACATGGCATGTGTAAAATAAAACTCCTGGGTTCATTCTACTGTATAGGCCCAATTCTAAAGGGGGAGAATGGAGGATTTACAGAGGCAGTGTGAGGGTTCATCGGGGCTGCAGTTATGTTTGCCAACTCCAGCTTAGGAAATTCCAGGAGATACATTAGAATATTTTTTTAAAGTCCAAGGAAGATCGTGTGGTGAAAAAGGGTGGGGGGAAAGTGGAACCACCTGAACCTCTGAAGACCACGTGGAGGGTTGTGAGAGGTTCGTTGCAGGTGAGATTGCACGGACCTCGGCTCATGAACCTGGTGATTTTCATGTCGAACTTAGGTTTGTGACGAAGTTCATGGCCATCCCTAGTCCCATTAAAACTGGTTGTGCCCCCAAGTCTGTGGTCTTAACATCTGCATATACACAGGTAAATGTGAACGTGAGAGCTGGCACACATTAGCAGCAGCAGGCGCACAGAAAAGACTGCGGATAAGGATCAGCTTTCTACCATGACAAAATAATAATAATAACCCACAAACACAAACCCTCATGCGTGCAAAATCACTGTTTGTTTCTGTTGAATAAACAACAGCAGCTGGACAGCTGAATCAGATAGGGCTGCAGGGCTGGGGAGGGGAATTTAACCCTCCCCCTCCATGCAATTGTCCTCTTGGAGATCACATACACAACTTATAAATGGTATCTGTGTGTTCACTCCCACAAGGCAAGGAGCGCAGGGGGAGAGGTGTTCTGAAATGGGAAAATTACACCGGGGGAAAGGCTTAAAACAAAACAAAACCCCAGTTCCATGATCCCGATCCGATTTCCTTCCCCAATGTTGCTTTTAACTTAAGACACCACGTGGAGATCCAGTCATGGATCTCCTCACATTGCGTCTTATTTGGTTAGTTAATGATCAGGTTAAATTAACAACCAATTGGAGACCACTTCGCTCTGTGTCTTCTCTTTGCCTTGAACAGGGTTATATTTAAACTGGGAAAGTCAGAAATCACTTCCAGGTCAAACAGCTTCTGGAATCTGTCCACAAACTGGTTTTCTTTCTCCAGCCTAAACCGCATGGCCCAGAGGATGATTGTGCTGTCTTTACACAGGTGGTCAAAGGTAAGGAGGAGCTCATCCAGGTAAGGGTGGTGGTAGACAACGTCGGCAGCCAAGATGTAGTCAAACTGGCACGACGACCTGGGGAACTTCTCTTCCAGGTCAACCCCCCAAAATAGTTCTTTCACCTGGGGCTGCTGTTTGCATCGCATCTTTGTGTTTCTGAAAACATTGTACTGAAGGTTTCCTAGCAGTTCGGGCAGGTCAGTGGCAGTCACATGGGCACCTGTGAAAGACAGAAGCCACAGAATTGCAAATTACTCTTGTGGATAGTTTAAAGAAGAAATAGGAATATCTTTTGCAGAAATTCTGCAAAATTGATTACAGCTATAAATAGTTTTTTAAAAAAACAGCAGAACCTAACCCACCAAGTATTAAGAACTGGTTAGTGAAAATGTGGGGGGGGGGATTATTGAGCTGGTCAAACTGGCATTCTTTGAGAAAACAACCATTTTCATGAATCATTTTATATAACTTGTCAATTTCTGAAAGTGATATAACCTGAATTTTTATGATGTGCTTGCATTGCATTTAAGGAAGGGCCATGGCTCAGTGCTAAAGCATCTGCTTGGCATGTAGAAAGTCCCAAGTTCAATCCCCGGCATCTCCCGCTAGAAGCATCAGGTAGGGGGTAATGTGAAAAACCTCAGCCTGAGACCCTGGTGAGATACTGCCAGTCTGAGTAGCCAGTACTGACCTTAACCTCCTTTATTTTTTATTTAATGTTTTATAAACAATACATATATTATATACTACTAGCCAGTACTGACTTTGATGGACCATTGGTTTGGTTCATCATAGTGCAGCTTCATGTGTTCATATGATTATATCATATGTATTGATTAATGTGTATGATTCTGCTTTTCTTTTGATGCTTGCATTGATTTTGTATGAGTCTTTTCCAACGGTCCCATTGGGGAGGAAGGTGGGGACAAATGCATTAAATAAACAAACAAACAAACGAACAGGTATTTCTTTCTCTTTTCCGTTTCTTTTTTTAAAATTCCTTTCTCTAATAATAATATTAAATACTAAAACCAGATAAATACACTGATCTACCATTCCCTTCAGGTTGTCTTTACTAACACTCCAGAATACTCAAAATGTGAATGTTCAAAGTAGTAAAAAGTCCAGGAGCAACAGACTAACATAGCTAACTCCTCTGGATCTGTGAATGTTCAAACATTCACTAGTGAATGTTGATAGTTACCAAAATGTGATTATCATATGTACTTGTAAATATTTAAAAATAAATTATACTTGATTTCTTGGACATTAACAAAATTAACATTAACAACATTTATCCATTTCCTGTACAGCAGTCGATGCTACTCACCAAGGAAACTAGCTACTATCGAGACCAGACCTGTCCCCGCTCCAATTTCAATGACATTTTTATCAGCCATGCTATATGAGTTCACATTCGTTTCCAAAAAGTGGCACAGAACAAGAGCCTGGGGAGGGGAGGAAAAGAGAATAAATTAACATGGAAAGAGAGAAAAAAGTGAACAAGAAATGACTTCATTATCAGCAGCAATGGCTGAAAGCTAATGAGGTAGCTGTCTAATGAAGGGAAAACATTATTGTAGATTAAATTACTGAAGGTGAATTTTGTCAGGGAAAGTCTAGGAAAATATGTTCATCCTAGGAATTTAAGTGAAAATGTAGAAGGTTCTTGTTCTGAAGAATGTTCTGTTAGCTATGCTCCTTCTATATTTTGGCTACAGAGTTTGTCTTGGTAGGCGTTTCATTCTCTGCTCAAGCTGTCATGGGTAACCTAGAGATCATCGCTATCCTAATAGTCTAAATCAGTTACTGTGAAATAAGTCAGAGATTTGCTAATCAAGAGTAGCCTCCTGACCGATATCTCTAAAGAAATCTCCTTACCATGGAGAAAAAAGTTCATAGAACATTGATAGCAGCTATATATTTATGGAAAACCCATAAGGACACTTTTTGGTCAGAATGTGCAAGACATTTCATGAAAGGAGCAGTCAAGCTCCCAGAGATCGTTTGTAGCAACGGTGGCTACAGAAGATTTAGAGTTGACAAGTAATGGGTAAGACAGGAATAGGGAAAGCTATATGGGAAGGCTGGATGGGGGGAAATCAGATACTCAATTGAGAAAGCAGTAAGATGTGAATAAACAGATTTATGAATAGGGTTGACAAGAGGTCTTTTAGTAGAAGCTTGATGTGTCCAAATTGCCAACATTCGCTGAATTATGGAGAAAGCAAGAGAGTACCAGAAAAAGAACTACTGTTGCTTCGTTGACTACGCTAAAGCCTTTGATTGTGTGGATCGCAACAAACTATGGCAAGTCCTTAAAGAGATGGGAGTACCAGACCACCTCACATGTCTCTTGAGAAAGCTGTATAAGGGGCAAGAAGCAACAGAACAGGATATGGAACAACTGATTGGTTTAGAATACGAAAAGGAGTACGACAAGGATGTATATTGTCCCCTTGTTTATTTAATTTATATGCAGAGTACATCATGCGAAATGACAGCCTGGATGATTCAGAAGCCAGAATTAAGATTGCTAGGAAAAACATCAACAACCTCAGATATGCAGACGATAACACTCTAATGGCAGAAAGTGAAGAGGACCTCAAGAGCCTCTTCAGGTGATCACGGCCCCCACGCATCGCGCCGGTCATACGCTCGATCTGATCTTTGCGGCTGGAGTTATGGTGGACCAGATCGCTACAATAGCGATACCGTGGTCGGACCACCAGGCCCTGAAGGCTCGTCTGAATATGCCACCCCGACCCCGCTTAGGCGAGCTGATTTTTGCTCGCCCGCGACGCCAAATGGACCCGACGCGGCTTCAGATGGCGTTGCGGGAGCCGAAGCCCCCTGGCAGCTCATTAGATGAGCTAGTGGAGGACTGGCATGACCGGCTCTCCGCGGCCATCGACGAGATTGCTCCCAGGCGTCCTCTCCGGACCCGTATGAGGCGGGCGCCCTGGTATACCCAGGAGTTGCGCCAGCGGAAACGAGAACTGAGACGACTAGAGAGACGGTGGCGTCGCGCTCACGACGAAGCGTCCAGAGCATCTTATAGGACGCTTATGAAGGCCTATGAGATGG